TTCATGGATCATCAATTCTATGCATTTTTACAAATAACGAACAGCGTATGACGTCACAATAGCTATTGTCGAAATCGTAATTGTGAGTGACTCATGTTCAACTCTGACTTATTCAGCCTGCGTATGGTACTTAAATGTAGATTTTGTGAGTTATATAGCAGTTTGTCATACATTTGTTATATTGTTAGATCCGGAAAAGTTTCACGAACATACTGAAACTATACTTATCAGTGATTCAGATGTAAACGTATCAGCCACGATGGATTTTGTACGAATATTAGGAGTGAAGCCTCGTCAAAATTACGTTATTTTTTACCACGGTAGATATGTTCTAAGCCATCTAAGTCTTTTAAATTGCAATGAATCATCTCAAATTCTTATGGTCAACAATAAAGAAGATGTTTGTTCTACAAAAAAGTATATTTGATGACCTGGTGGACATATAAACCTCGTAAATTCTATAAAATATTGAAAAATGTCCAAGTGAAGCCTCCGTGATAAAAATCCCTGTTAAAATCAATTGGGCATTTTCAATCTATGCGAGTGTGAGTATTTTAATATTTTGAGTCCTAAAAAATATTTTTCTCAGCTGCGCATCAGATGATTATAATGTATTAAAAAATAAGGGGCTCTATTTTAGTTTTTCACCTTTTAAAATGAATGATACCAGAGTCTGAACTAAATGTGCATAGACCGTTTTGACGTCATTTTACACACAAAATGGGGACTTTGTTTCCCCTTTCATCGAAATTAGCGAGGACAGATTTTATTGAAATAATTTGAGAGCTTTTTTATTTGCCTGCGCATGTTCCATACATTACAGTGGTACAAAATGATAGGGTAAACCATACTTCTTCATGAACATATACCGTATTCTTTGAGTCTTAAAGAATAGAGACATTTCCGCGCTATAGGATTATACTATGCGAGAAAACATAAAAAGCGCGCGATTGATGAGTCCCGCATCAAGAGTTAACAGAACAAATTCTCTACAAATCATTACTTTCAATCATCATGAATTCTCATTTGAAATAAAGATGCACATGTCATTTTGATGTAATGGTTATCTATTGATAGTATTAATGATTATATCTTGTAGGATTTGCATATAAATTCATCAAATATGGAAGATTAGTACGAAGTTTTCAATTTTATAGTTCAGAATATTTGTCTTGGTTTCCATGTTTATTCAATTTTAAATCGATGTTTTGATTGAAGTTGCTTGGTTTGTTTTGAAATACCTTTCCATCGATTCATTCCTTAAGGCCCGGTCACACCGCCTAAACGTTGCTGGAGCGTTCCTTGAACGTTGAAAAAAATCACCAACGCTCGTAAACGTTCACCACCGTTTAACAAAAGATGGCATCCGCTAAAGCAACGCTGTAAACGCTCGGCCAAGGCGGATGTTTCTCGAGTGCCAATCCAACGCTCCAAAAGTTTTGAGCTGCTCAAAATATTGCGAGCGTTGAAAAAGGGACCATTTTACGCCCTGGCAAAGTTTATCACCGCTCCATCAACGCCCAGTCAAAGTTTGGCACCGCTAGACGCAAGTTCGTGGACGCTTGAATCCGCTAGACCAACGCAGAAATCATAAACGCTGGACCACCGCTGCTTAGCCAGCGTTGCCCGGGCGGCGATTAAACGTTGCACAAACGTCGGTGGAGCGGTTGTTAGCGTTTTATCAGCGTACATGGGGTTGTTGGAACGGTGTCGGACGTTGTAGCAGCGTTCCATGGCGGCGATGAACTTTGCTTTGGCGTTGGTATAGAGGTGTCGGAGCGGGACCAGAATTTGGCTATAAATACGTGGAGAAATGCACCACTGTGTAGAACACTGTGGAGACACTTGTGCATTTTACATTTGATATATATTCATGTCTGGCATTTCAATTTTTTGCATTGTAAATTCCTGAATTAAGCGCTCAAAGTTTGTGATTTTGGATTTTAAAAAGGTGAATTATGCGATTTTTGTTTTTCATTAAATTTTAATACAAATAGACTGACTGAGCTCATCCTGAGATACATTCATATTGTAATATTAGACTCAGGGATTAGTCTTGTACCTTTATTTGCATAAATTGCAAAAAATTTTGTAATCTGACATTTTTATATTACTTTTAAAGATTGTAAATATGTTGTGACCTTGTTTATGTTTATGCTTTACGTTTATGTTTATTGTATAATCCAACAATGTTATTAGTTTATATGAAATCCGATTTGAAATCGGGAATAAAAGATACATACATACATACATTAATCCTTGAAGGACTTTTGTTAAAGTTACAAATTCCAATAAAGGTCTTTACTCTTAAACACTTCCCACTTGAAATAATTTCCCCGTAGTCAAACGGGATATGCTGCTAAACCAACGCTGCTGCTATTTATATCCCCGTCGAGGCAACGCTCTCATGCGCAGAGCGCCGCTATACCAACGCTCGCATTACCGCTAAACAAACGCTAGCTACGTCAAATTGCGAGAATATTTTTCATAACGTCACATTTCATTGTTTCCTGTGAAACGGGAGTGTGCACCAATAGCGTACGCAAAATGATCACATTGACCACGGCCACTTTCCAGGGGTATGGTACTATAAAGTCATATTAAAAATCATAAATAGTACAATATCATTATTATAATTGTATCACTATATCAAACAAAACTTGAATTAATTTTTAGAAAACAATTTTGAGCTATTTAAGCTGCCATCGTTTGCTGGAAGCTACAAATATAAAATAGGTGAGACCAAAAAATGACTAAAATTGCATATTTTTTCCTATTAATTGCAATATTTCTGAGACTAATACAGATATCGGCCTATAACTTTAGGATATTATTCATCTTTGGACTAGTAATGTGTGCTGTAGAAAGCAGAACAATAGCAACTATACCCTTTTAGTCCATGGCATGAAATCTCTAGGACGTCTAATAAAGGAGTTGGTAGCACACTATAGCGCAGCGATGTTTGACCTTACATTAACATACCTACATGTGTCTCCTAATAATTTTTATTATAACCGTTCAGTATACTTTCGGCTTTTAGACTGAATTATGCCTGCCATTAACAGAGGTCAAAGAATCATCAAAAAATAAAATCCCAATTTTTCACAATTTGGAGTAAACAATGCAACAGAAAATAATACAAAATGATTTTAAATATATGATTTAGGTTTCTAAGCTATAAGTTTGAGGTTATTTTTCTTATCAATACCAAAAAGAAGTAATCAGTGTATCGACGTTTTGTATTGTTTCTCAGGTATTAATAAGACAAATGCTACAAATGAATCACTTTTATATTGGAATGACAAATGTTTAAATTATGCTAGTTTGTCACAAAAGGGGTCTCAATAAGTTTTGAGATATGGACTTTTATTCAGCGGTGAAAATTATCAATAAAGGCGGGCCTATTGCTCTTCCTTGACTAATTGGGACTACAGCTAAAATTCTATTTCCCGTAGTTAGATATAGCTCAGTTGCTTATAAAACAACCATCAAGACTTGATCGAATTCATGAATAATTGAGAAAAATCGTTATCATTATCTTCCTAAAATCTGATTGTATCCAGCGGTAAGGTCAAAGAACAAACAGCCATCAGAAAACTTGATGATAGCCACAAGTAACGTCGAGGAAGAATTTCAAGGCGTTCGATTGCATATGACTCTAATTGATTATTAGACATGCCCTTGGAATATATGAACATTCCAATACCTCTGTAACATTTAATTAGATATAAATCTTACCTATGTGTTATTGTATGATGTTTTGTAAAACATGAACAATAATTTGTTGTTAGACCCCTTGCTATTATATGGAAAAATTCTGGTAATAAAATGTTTTAAATGGTAAGAAAACTAATATGTTCCCAATCATGAATTACCTAAATATTCCACATAATTTTGTTGAATCGGCTAGGCTTATATTTGAAAAATCAAACAAAATCTGAAAAACACATTTGCATAATTACACTAATTAAACACCGACATCTACGGTAAAATTAAATAGTATATTTTTAAATTATGATAATTTTTTTTGTTCGTATGCTTAGAATAACGGTCTGTGTCTTATAAAATGTATAAAAGTTCGAATCAAAATATTTACGTTTTTTGATCCCTTGTGATGAAAGACATTATTCTACCCGAAGGCCGGAAGTTTTTTCAGCAAATGGTATTTTAAAAGAATCAAGACATGTACACCTAAATATTGCTTCAAATGTTGCTGCGCTATAGTGTGCTACGGATCCTTCATATCCGGAAGTCATACCATGGACTATTTATGGTACCCCCTGAAATCTCAGGAATTGGAGTCCAATTCGGCCGTGAAAATTGTTTTTACCACTTTAAAGCCCAGCACCTTATATTTTCTTACACCTACTAGGTTACTCTAACATACTGCATTGCCAAAAGATACTTCTTGCAACCTTCCGGCAAAAGTGTGCAAGCATCTAATACATGATGCTTATTGCTCAAATACTTTTTAAGATTGCACAATCCACAATCATTCAAAAAGTAATGAATTGGAGCGTACTCTATGTGATCGTGACCTGGTAGCAAACTGGAAAACAAGGCATTAACATGGTAAAATGTAACCACCTACAAATGGTCACAAGTGTAACATTTGATAGAGATGAAGGTCAAATAAAGGTCAAATCTAAATCTAAAGTCAGATGTGACCATCTAAGAACTAGTAGATGATTTTGAAAAACATTGGTCAATTTGAAGGAAGTTGAAAAATACCTTTTTGACCTTCAATCTGATGTTGACAGTAAAAATTTGAATTCGGTCTAAACAGTAATTGTAAAATTATTGGGAGTTGTAAGTATTTGTTAAAGGCGCTGACCGCCGAACACCATATCCCATAAAAAGTTGGAGACTATAACAAATTAACAATATTTTAATTATAAAAATTTAATATCGCATTTTGAGTGATTTCAACAACTTCCCTTCCACGTAATGAGTGCTAGTATTTTGTAAGGCATTGCATTTTGTAATACAGAAATACATACCACCGCCCGCAAAGTCTGCTTGCTGTTCCTCTTTGTTTGCTGCATGCGCACGTGCTAATGCTGCACTTAGATCAGCACCACCAACAAAATCCGATAGTTGGCTAACAAAAACCAGAAGACCGAAAGCAACCGCAAGATAACTCATAATGAAATCTGGAAAATATATTCAGAGCTCCTGTTTTGAATATGTACATTTTCAGAAATAATCCTATTGGTTTTACAATTTTAAACAAGGCATTAACATGACAAAATGTCACCACCTAAAACAATTTGGTCAATTTAAAGCAAGTTGGAAAATACCTTTTGATCTTAAGAAGGTTTTTTGAAGATTTGAGCTTCTGGGATCTTGTAGATGATTTTGAAAAAAGAAATTGTTCAATCTGAAGCAAGTTAAAACTAGTTGCACACAATATTATAGTGATCAAAAGTTAAATAGTATAAGCATAAGTCTCATAATTTGGTACTATGTACCAAATTTTGATAAAAGCTAAACATGTATACAGGTATAAAACATGCAAAATTGGTGATTACTCTAGGAGTCACATTTCATGTCAATTTGAGGTTGAAAGTGTCCAAATGCCAGAAATGTTTCAGTCTCAGGATCGTTTGGCACAGTACAAACATTGTACTGTCTATACACTTTTGAAGATTTACACTAGAGTGGACTGACTTATTCACATCAGCCCTTAGCGCAGAATTTATTTCTGTGTTTTTATTAATTACCTAATACATTATTTGCAGACCTTTTTGACCTTTTTTGGCATTGAGAAGGTCATTAAAAGGTCAAATGTCAAATCTAAAGTCAGATTTGAATTTCTGAGAACATGTAGATGATTTTGAAAAAAAAATTAGTCAATTTGAAGCAAGTTGAAAAAAGACCTTTTTGACCTTTTTTGACCTTGAGAAGGTCATTGAAGGTCAAATGTCAAATCTAAAGTCATATTTGAATTTCTGAGAACATGTAGATGATTTTGAAAAAAAAAATTAGTCAATTTGAAGCAAGATGAAAAAATACCTTTTTGACCTTTTTTGACATTGAGAAGGTCAAGGTCAAATGTCAAGTCTAAAGTCAGATTTGAACTTCTGAGAACATGTAGATGATTTTGAAAAAAAAATAAGTCAATTTGAAGCAAGTTGAAAAAAGACTTTTTTGACCTTGAGAAGGTCATTGAAGGTCAAATCTAAAGTCAGATTTGAACTTCTGAGAACTTGTAAAGTCATTGAAGCTCATATGTCGAATCTAAAGTCAGATTTGAATTTCTGAGAACATGAAGATGATTTTGAAAAAAAAAATTAGTCAATTTGAAGCAAGTTGAAAAAAATACCTTTTTGACCTTTTTTGACTTTGAGAAGGTCAAGGTCAAATGTCAAGTCTAAAGTCAGATTTGAACTTCTGAGAACATGTAGATGATTTTGAAAAAAAATTAGTCAATTTGAAGCAAGTTGAAAAAAGACCTTTTTGACCTTGAGAAGGTCATTGAAGGTCAAATCTAAAGTCAGATTTGAACTTCTGAGAACTTGTAAAGTCAAATTTGAACTTCTGAAAAGATGTAGATGATTTTGAAAAAAAAATTTGGTCAATTTGAATCAAGTTGAAAACAGACCTTTTTGACCTTTTTGACCTTGAGAAGGTCATTAAAGGTCAAATGTCAAATCTAAAGTCAGATCTGAATTTCTTAGAACATGTAGATGATTTTGAAAAAAAAATTAGTCAATTTGAAGGAAGTTGAAAAAAGACCTTTTTGACCTTTTTTGACCTTGAGAAGGACATTGAAGTTCAAATGTCAAATCTTAAGTCAAATCTAAAGTCATATTTGAATTTCTGAGAACATGTAGATGATTTTGAAAAAAAAATTTAGTCAATTTGAAGCAAGATGAAAAAATACCTTTTTGACCTTTTTTGACATTGAGAAGGTCATTAAAGGTCAAATGTCAAATCTAAAGTCAGATTTGAGTTTCTGAGAACATGTAGATGATTTTGAAAAAAAAATTTAGTCAATTTGAAGCAAGTTGAAAAAAGACCTTTTTGACCTTTTTTGACTTTGAGAAGGTCATTGAAGGTCAAATGTCAAATCTTAAGTCAAATCTAAAGTCAGATTTGAATTTCTGAGAACACGTAGATGATTTTGAAATTTTTTTTAGTCAATTTGAAGCAAGTTGAAAACAGACCTTTTTGACCTTTTTTGACCTTGAGAAGGTCATTGAAGGTCAAATGTCAAATCTTAAGTCAGATTTGAATTTCTGAGAACACGTAGATGATTTTGAAAAAAAAATTTAGTCAATTTGAAGCAAGTTGAAAACAGACCTTTTTGACCTTGAGAAGGTCATTGAAGGTCAAATGTCAAATCTAAAGTCAGATTTGAAGGTCAAATGTCAAATCTAAAGTCTAAAAAAAATTTAGTCAATTTGAAGCAAGTTGAAAACAGACCTTTTTGACCTTTTTTGACCCTGAGAAGGTCATTGAAGGTCAAATGTCAAATCTAAAGTCAGATTTGAAGGTCAAATGTCAAATCTAAAGTCAGATTTGAATTTCTGAGAACATGTAGATGATTTTGAAAAAAATTGAAGTCAGTCTTAACAGTATTTGTTAAGTTATAGGAAGTTGTAAGAAATTGTTACAGACGCCGGACGCAAACCTCCAACCGCCGTCGCAAAAAACGGAGACCATAACAATATGTCACCACTTTTGGTGGTGACATAAAAATGGTAAGATACTCCTTTATCCGTCTCAATCGCGCAAATATGAAGCAGATTGATTGTCACAGTAATTCACAACTCTACTTTCGTCATATATCCAGACAGTCATTCTGATACTCATAGCATCTTTCTGTTTCACATGAAACATGCTTTGATATTATGAGGCATATTCTGTGATCTGAGCACATCAGATGGGAATAGGGTGACATTTATCATGTAATCATTTACCTTAATGTCAGCAGGTATTAGAACAGGCATATTTATACAAGTTTTATGACCCAATTGGATGAAATATGAGCTGGGATGAAAGATCTCAAAAATCCTAAATTTTTGGCTCTCCTAGATCGCCAAATCAAAGTCATTATATAATGGCATCTCAGAGCTGAAAAGAAATGAAATGTCATGGTTTATCATGATGCCAGAGAGTAAGCAATATTTACACTTTCATTTTTATTTTAAACAAAAAGTTTAGACGAATCCTTTACTAAATATAAACATTTCTGTGTGTAACTTGATAATGGTGACAACATGGCAGCAGTTTAACATTTTAGGTTTTAATATTCTAAGATATTGTGGTGTTTGGGTGAAATAGGTGAAAAAGTATGGAAGTTAATCATAATCATACAAGGTAATACTGCTTAAAAATTACAATTCTTTTTTGAAAAATTAAATTAGGAGTGTTAGGAAAACATAGGCATTATTTGGAAAAAAACGTCTTCCAACATTTTACAATTCTCTTTGCATCCCTTCGAGGTCCAACTTAGGCACTCCAAAGGCATATTAAAGATATAAAAATTGATATCATTATATTTACAGAATAAGTTGTCATTATTGTTTTGAAGCTGGAAGTATAAAATAAAATTGGCGAGACCAATTATTCAACCAATTATTGAAAACATTCCGTAAAAACACAGTCCTTTATGTAATGTTATCTGATTGACAACAATTTAATGCGAAAATATTTTATATAACTGTATATAATAACTGTATAATTTTTGTTTTGTTTTTTAGTACAATTGTTTTTTGTTCCTTTCTACCAATTCTTGAGAATGAAATAAAGTATCTTTCTGAACCTTGTTGGAACAGCATATACAACATTTTCTTAGACCTCTCAATATTATACATGTACACTGTACATGTAGTTATACAAAGGAAATTTCGGTTGATTTAATAAAAAGTATTCAATAAATTAAAACAAAAAACCAAAATAGATAAAAATCAATATAAACCTTTTATTTCATTAACAAGATATTTTTTTTAAATCAACCAAACTATCCTTTGTACAATTACAATATTGAGAGACATTAACACGTTGTGCATATGTCGTTTTTGTTCCAATGAGGTTCGGAAAGATGTTTCGTTTCATTCCGAACATGTGATACCAAGAACAAAAGAATTGTCTGATGTGTTTTCTAAAACAATATAGAGAAAAATATATTTATTTTTCAAATTATATTGTTACCGTTTTCAGAATATTTCGGTGACTGGTTTAAGAGAAACGTGTGTTACCAATCAGTTCAAAGTTGATATTTACAATTTTAAAACCACGTTTCTAGATGTTATTTTACATGTAGATTTCAACATTTATACTGTGTATTTACTCTTTTACAGTTTAAAAGAAAGAAATTAAAGTGTTCACTTTCCTATAACGCATCCTAGGCTAATAGCTGCAAGTGGACTTCGAGTCCATAGCCCCTTATTTATGATTTAATCCCTAATGATATTTAATCATTTTACAGCTAAAAATCTCCAAGGAGCATCCTTGATGCAAGGGCATCTTACAAGAATAAGGATGCCACGGAGTAGAAGAGCTACACTTTATATTATGAATCCATACACTAGTATTCGAGTTATTTTCGGACGGACGGAACTGACGGACAGACGTCGGGACTCATTATATTTTTCTGGATAAAAAGATTTAGTCCAGTAACAGTGAATACATATCATTAATTATGAATTAAAAATACTTTAGGATTACATATGATGATTGAATTCGGTTCCCAAAATAGTTCATAGAATCTAAAAGTAAAAAATTCTTAGTTAGTTCCAATAAAAGCTTACATCCTACCTGCAATAATAAGAGAACAGTCCAACTGAACCCAAGGAGGATGGGCTCCCAGAACCGAAGTCGATATTTTCCAACAATGAAAACGCCGAAATGTCGTTATTTACTTTATTTTCTGAAATTGTAACCGATTATAAATTCAGAATAAACAGTTCAAATGATTCGAACTAATATCTCCATCATTTCTTGTGAGTTTGGGATTTTTTCGTTAGGAAATAAGACCAAATGTTGAAGTGAACAAAATGGCGGCTGTTGTAATTCGAATCTTTTAGCACGACATCCCCATGTATGGGACAGAATATCGATGTTGCACTCTGGGAGCCAATCCTCCTTGAACCGAACCTTAAAAATGATAAATAAATCTATCGCCATACGTACCTTGTAAAATCCAAGTGTTGCGATCAAAATTGTGTTGAAACAGATTTCGCAGAGTTTATATACAAGTTCAAAACAGTTAATTCCCAATAAATTACTGGATTATGCAAGAATCAAAGATGGTAAACGTAAATGGTTTATTTATTGAAACTCTGATGATGCAGAAAGATAATTTGTGGTTTTAAGTTTTCTCTTTACTGCTTTTTCATTTGTTTGTGTCATTTTGACATTTTGCCAGTAAGAAAGTTGTTGCTGTCGTTAAATTAAATTACTAAAAAAAGCAAGCACACGTTTTATGTTCATGAAACAAGAACGCGATGAAAATAATGTATAACACAATACCAAAGATATTCCTGGAAGATTGTATAATTGTCCCCGGTCAATTATATACATACTATGTCCCGATCTCATGTACATTTACAGAATTACTAACACGTATTCGAACATGATTGTATTCACGCCTTCTATAAACTGTAAACAAAGTCAATGCTTCAGCTGGGTTATATTCGAGATCAATAACCCAGTTAATACGTGTAATATGTGACGTCCTAATGATGGGTCGTAGTAATGGCGGACCATGATGAATATTCGAAACAATTTGATGAGTTTTCATGTTGAATCGTAATATAGACCTCAGAGCAGGGGTAATATCGTCGATAACACCCCTTGGGGCTATGCACAAAAGCTTTCGAACCCCTCACTCCCTTCGGTCGTTCGGGGTACAGAAAACGTTTGTGCCTAGCCCTGCGGGGTGTATTCGACGATATAACCCCTGCTTTTCGGTCTGTATTTCTTAAAATATTACATCTATTTTCGGAAGACTCTTGGACAACGGTTTAAGCATAATATATACAGCCGGGCAGCAAGGCCCCTCAGGTCCATTGTTAGCATTAAAATCCGTGACGTCACGATATATTAATCCGCTGACGTTCAACAAAAATTTTCTTCGTCAGAAATTTCTGAGATCTCTCATTTCGAAAATTGATTTGCTTGTAACACGCAAAATATATGATCAAAATTACACAGAATCGTTGAGCTTAAGATACCCGATCTACGCTGCTAATATTGAAACAATCACGCACGTCTGTCGTGGCGAAAAGAAGTTTGTCAGATTTTCAACTTTTTGTTGAAAACACGGTTTTGGCATAATATTTAGCATAATATAAAACGTTGCATTTGATAATTTTGAAATATGGTAATTTGGTCATAACTTTTTTATTCCTTAACCAATTAAGTTCAAATTTGGTACGGGAGAACAATTGCTGATGGGCGTTTATGACGTCACATGATCTTGTGACGTCATCCACCCATATCCGCCATCTTTGATGCCCAATAGTAAAAATGTGAAACTCGAAAAAAAATGTTGGTAAAAATCAAACCTATGAAAAAGATGTCATTATAATACTTATTCTATATATGTTTAACTAGAACTTAACGTTAAAAATATATGTTTTGTATTCATTTTGTTTACATAACAAACATTTTGCGACTTGTGTCTGTTTTGTACCAAGAAAAAAATTGATAGAAATATGGCGGGTTTCAAAGACTCTCGTCATTTCAATATGTTTTTCTAGTGACATTCAACTAGATTTTTTATAATGTCATAAAAGCATTGCCCTTATACTACATATACTATAATTTTAAGTTCAGTTGCATTGCTTTGCATGTATTTGGACCAGGTAATATGACTTGGTCAAATTTAGCATTCTTTTGTCCTAAAATATTTTGACGTTGTAAAAATTGATTAGGGTGTTTTTAATAGCAGTCTAAAATGATATCAGGAAAACAAATGATAACATATTTGGTATGTAGAGAATGCTCATAGCCCATATTTATGATTCATCACGTTTAACACAGTCAAGTCAAGTAAGTAAGTCAACATTCGAAAATAAAAATCTCAAAAATCGTACATCTTTGATTTCCAAAATAATTTGTGAGGTGGTTATTAAGATGGTAATACACTTTTTAACGTATTAATTTTGAGTACATCTCGAATCTATTCTCGACAAAGCGTTCTCGAAATAAGTATTCGAAATGTTTGAGTTCGGGATTATAAAAGTACGTTAAGATATACCGCTCCTTAACAAACTCCTTTGGGAACAAGATATAGAATCAAATGCACATTCTTCTTATTTACTCCCTGACACATGCCAATGATTGTTACATAAGTAAATATCTCTGTTTTAAATAATTTTGAAAACGCTGTTTTCTACAGGTGCCATTTTTAGCTCACATGGTGAGCTTTTGCAATCACTCACTTGTCCGTCTGTCTGTCCGTCCGTCCGTCCGTCCGTCCGTCAAAAATAGTGGCACGTTTTAAAACCTCTGTCGATAGGATTCCTGTTTTAAGTTATTTCTGTTCAACATCAATACAGAAAACCCCCCTATGACTCCTGGTTCAAAAGCTCGCCTATTTTCAAAATGGCCGTCTTTTTTGTCTCGCGAAATTCACTTTTAGCCCATTTCCTAGCTAACCTCTGTCGATAGGATTCCTGTTTTAAGTTATTTCTGTTCAACATCAATACAGAAAACCTCCCTATGACTCCTGGTTCAAAAGCTCGCCTATTTTCAAAATGGCCGTCACTTTTGTCTCGCGAAATTCACTTTTGGCCCATTTCCTAGCTTTACAAATAATTTCAGGTGTCCTACATTGTAAAAATCCATGTCAATGTAAAGATTAGATATATGAAATAATTTTGTTACAAAAAATCAGCGAAAAATTGTATCCATTTTTTTATTTTCAGCCATTTTAGTTAACATTGATTTGTCTATCTGACTCGCGAAATCCACTTTCTGTCAATAACAGTGGCACGTTTTAAAACCTCTGTCGATAGGATTCCTGTTTTAAGTTATTTCTGTTCAACATGAATTCAGAAAACTCCCCTATGACTCCTGGTTCAAAAGCTCGCCTATTTTCAAAATGGCCGCCATTTTTGTCTCGCGAAATTCACTTTTGACCCATTTCCTAGCTAGCTTTACAAATAATTTCAAGTGTCCTACATTGTAGAAATCCATTGCAAAGTAAAGAGTAGATGTATGAAATAATTTTGTTACGAAAAATCAGCGAAAAATTATATCCATTTATTTATTTTCAGCCATTTTACTTAACATTGATTTGTCCATCTGTCTCGCAAAATTCACTTTTGGACCATTTACCTTAAACCCTCTATCGATAGGATTCCAATTTTAAGTTATTTTTGTTCAACATCAATATAAAAAACTCTCCTATAACTCTTGGTTCAAAAGCTCGGCTATTTTCAAAATGGTCGTCACTTTTGTCTCGCGAAATTCACTTTTGACCCATTTACTAGCTTTACAAATAATTTCAGGTGTCCTACATTGTAAAAATCCATGTCAATGTAAAGGGTAGATATATGGAATAATTTTGTTACAAAAAATCAGCTAAAAATTGTATCCATTTTTTTATTTTCAGCCATTTTAGTTAACATTGATTTGTCTATCTGACTCGCGAAATCCACTTTTGGACCATTTACCTTAAACCCTCTGTCGATAGGATTCCCATTTTAAATTAATTTTGTTCAACATCAATACAAAAAACTCTCCTATGACTCTTGGTTCAAAACCTCGCCTATTTTCAAAATGGTTGCCATTCTTGTTTTGCGAAATTCACTTTTTGCCTATTTCCTAGCTTTACAAATAATTTCAGCTGTCCTGCATTGTAAAAAGCCATGTCACTGTAAAAGGTAGTTGTATGAAATAATTTTGTTACAAAAAATCAGCAAAATATTATATCCGTTTTTTATTTTCAGCCATTTTAGTTAACATTGATTTGTCCATCTGTCTCGCGAAATCCTCTTTGGACCATTTGCTTAAAACCTCTGTCGATAAGATTCCAGTTTCAAGTTATTTTTGTTCAACATCAATACAAAAAACTCCCCTATGACTCCTGGTTCAAAAGCTTGCCTGATTTCAAAATGGTCGCCATTTTTGTCTCGTGAAATTCAATTTTGGGGTATGAGTACCGTAATCCAACACCAAATTCGAAAATTCATAACAATACTTTGCACATATGGCGTTCGTGACCAACTATAAAACGCTTACCCCCCATAGTGTTATATATCAAAATGTACCTGTTCATATAGGGGTTCGATTGATCTACATCAAATTATAGGGAGTCAGGTTACTTTTTGAGATATCAGCGTCCATTTATTGTGACTCGCGTTTGCTACCACTTCCTCAATTCTGATATGATGGGCAAACGCGTAATAAACATGCTCACGTCGGAACTATTTTTGACCTACATCGCTATTTTCGTAATTCAAATGAAAGTTGAACTCCTCCTCTTTATGTTGATACCAAATAGTGGCATACTAGGTACCCTAGAAGCCAACTATGGCGTTATTAAGAACAAAACCACAAGTTTTTAAATGGACTATATAGGGGTCATACCTTTTGGCGGATGGATATGGAACCTCATACCTTAATGTGTTATGACATCACACTGATTTTTGTCTCTGCAACTTTTTTTGGCAGAAAATATCATTTCTAATTCAAAAATGCATAAAAACGTCGGAACTGGCTGAATATGTGAAAAATTTATCCATTTAGGCTAGAAAGGGTTAATTTGCCCTACCCCAAATACGTCTAAATATGCTGGTCTAACTTTGCCACTGTGACGTCACAAATCTAACCTGACTATCTCTGAGTTTATTGAAGAAAATGATACGTCTGACAAACAGCTTTCATTCCCTATATGGCACACCTTCTACTAAGAGTTGCATCATTGACTAAATCTAAGACAAAGGGCCTGTGTCCCGAGGATTTTGACTGAAATTTGGCCATTTTCGCCCAAATCTAACTAAATTGCAGTTTCCCTCACACCTGTATTTTGAAATAAATATTGCTACAATGTAGCAATTTGAAAATCACACATGCTTACTGTTTCTGTCGACCTGACACGTGTATCTAGCCTGTAAAATGAAAAATCGCTACATTGTAGCAATTTCACTGAGATATGGGCCCTGAAAATCATGTAATTTTAGCAAAAAATGAAGAAATAACCTGCAATTTTGACGGAATTTCAGA